GTGGATCTGTTTAGGATTGCTCCCTAAGAAACTAGATTTATGTTCCAGTCTTAGGCCTTTGTACATTCAACAAAATTCCATAGGAGGTAATAGAGTTGACTTCCAAGTAAACAGGCTTAAGTTTGAGTGCACCAATCAAGTTGATTAACAGAGCATTATGCTTGTATTTATTTTTAGGGATGTGGACAAATAGGCACTTTTGCACACTGCTGGTGGTTATGCGACGTGATACGTCCTTTTTGGTTGGAAATCCTAAAGAAGATAAAACAAATCTTAGGCATAGAAATTACATGCACTCCTGAGAACTTAATGCTTGATATCTGGCCAGATAGCATAGACCAACATCATTATAAAAGTATACTAAAAACAATGCTTTATGCGGCAAGAACTTCAATAGCATCAAAATGGAAGAATCCCAACCCACCCACTATCCAGGATTGGTTCCAAAAGCTTTGGGACCAATACATAATGGAAAGTATTACTGGGAAAAGTAATGCTACAAAAACTGGCCAGCCTGATTTGGGGTTTAACACAAAGTGGTTTCCTATCCTTACCTTCTTGGAAGCGGAACAATATATACCATCCTCTTGGAAGAAATATATTGAATGGCTCTGAAGGAAGTCAAAAGGTAGATTTTGTCTTAGTTGGGACACACGGATATATCATATTACAGTTAAGATTAAGCCTTAATAGGTCAATAGTCTACGCAGAGAAAAATATTGTTAATTGGATTTTCCAAACCTTAATACTTATTAGATTTATTGTTATATCTCTTCCTCTCTGAAATAGAATGGTATGCTCTCTGAAATAGAATGGTATCCTATTGAGATAGGATAACTGTTGATTATTGTTTTGTTCTTAATGATTGATGTATAAATTATGTTGTTATTAGTACTTGCTGATTTTTGTTAAAATTGAAGTGGTTTATCTTACTTTATCAGTTGTATGAAACTTTTAATACTTCAATAAAAAAAATTGTTGAAAATAAACAGAGCATTATGCTTAAGGGCATGAGGTTAGGCATGTTAGTTGTTCATTTGTTTGCCATGAAGTTCACAGAGCAAAAAGTTCCTGTGATTTAGGAGAACCACCTCCCCCCTCAGATATGAGGAAGAGTATTTCCCAGTACTTTCCCCCCCAGAATTTCTAAAGATTAATTGTTTCATAAAATTAATAACAATGAATTGATGCAATTGCCAGTATAATATTAGGCAAATTTTGCAGATTCAAAGCTGTAATTAATGTTTTTCAGTTGTGCATGGAAACTGGTACAAGAGGAGTACCTATTTGTTTACTGATTTGTAAACTAAGGTGGGGTGGGGAATAAAACCACAAATACATATGTGTTAAAAAATCAACTTATAAATTCACCTGATTGGCTGTGAAGGTCAAATCAAAACTACAGCTAAAATGGCAGGGTTTAGTCCCAGGAAACAGTCATTAGGATTGCACTGAAAATTTACAAGTTCTAAGGATACCTAAGGAATTAATAATAAAGTCACTGTTCACAACTGAAGCAAGAGAGAGAATTCCTTTTTCTGAAGCTTTAAGCAACACTTTCTCTGTTAACTCTGAAGAAAAGATTCTGGACTTAATACACTGGAGAAATTGTTCTGAAACAGCTCATCTGTGTGAAAACATGACTGTTGAAAAGCTGCCAAAGTGAGAGCATACAAGTACTAATCATACAAGCTTGGCCCATGAGTTGCTTTCACTTAAATGCTAATGGTTGTGTGGTATGAGTTAGAGACCATTCCCACTTTTTGCCTGCGTGTCTTGCTAGAAATATGCATTTCCTTCACATGCTACTGGCAGGTTTCCCTGACACCTGGAAGAATATGTAGTCCTACTTTCATTTACACAGAAGTGTAAGATACAGTAGTTTTCTTCTCCTATAATTTCCTAGCCGGAGCTCTGCCTTAAAAAAAAAAAAAGATCTAGAAAGTAGGATTTGTTTAAAAGAAATACTGGAATCTGAATTTAGCAATAAGAAGGCAATGAAACAACGAACAAATGCATAGTACAGGATTACATTTCAAGGATCTAATGAAGAACAGGTATAGCAACAAGATACAATCAAATATATTATCAAGCCTGTGCCTTATACACAAAAATCACGTCTAAAACAGACCCCCAGAAGTAATTTAGGATGCTATCCTAAGCACGCATACTTTCTGCTCAGCTCAACGGATCTTATTTCTGAGCAAACATGCTTAGGAGCATACTGTTAGTCCATCTTTCTATGCCAAGATAAAATACTTCCGTTTTACAGAAAACAAGTTGCACTGAACAAACCAAGAAGCTTCTCCAAACACCCCTTTTCACTATCTAATTTTTAAGTAGAGGTTTCCTGTAAACATTCTACATACTGGCTCAGGATATTTTAAAAATTTTCTCATTGAGATGAACATTAAATGTCATGCCATCAGCAGTAAAACTGAAGAACTGAACATATGGTTTTGGTGCTATCCTCCTTGCAACTTTTCACATCAAAAGGAGCTATCATGGTACACACAGCAGATGCCACTTACATTTCTTTCATCTCTTTGTTGGCATATAATACTACAGGGGAGCAGATTTGTCCTAGAGGCCTCCAGTTGATAGGCTAGAACCAAAGAAATGTTCAACAGCCCTGTTTTAAAATGCACTGTAATTCTACCAAATCTAGTATGACTTCTGACTCCTCCAACATGCCAGTTGGTACATACATTCATCTTAGAAAACACTGTAAATCCCAGACCACCTATGGTCTAGAGACTCTGGGCAATTACCTCCAGTTTGGACATAAGCAGGGCTTTTTTTGTAGAAAAAGCCCAGCAGGAACTCATTAGCATAATAGGCCACACCCAACAGCAAAAACTCATTAGCATATTAGGCCACAGCCCTGACAGCACAGCTCATTAGCATATTAGGCCACACACCCATGTTACCAGAAGTGTGGTAATCCAGCCACACCCACCTTTTCCTTCTTATTCTGTTGACCTTGTTTGTGGTCAAAACCCAGGGCTTTTTTTGTAGCAGGAACTCCTTTGCATGTTAGGCCACACACCCCTAATGTAGCCAATTCTAATACGTTTCTGCTGTTGGGTGTGGCCTGTTATGCTAATGAGTTCCTGCTGGGCGTGGCCAACTTGGGAGCCAGCTGGAACTCCGTTCCTGTGCGTTCCTGCCCAGAAATAACCCTGGACATAAGTATTAACAGTGTACGGTAAAGGTTCCCTTGCTCGAAAGCCAGTCGAATCTGACTCTAGGGTTGCAGTGCTCATCTCCGTTTCAAAGCCGAAGAGCCAGCGCTGTCAGAAGACATTTCCGTGGTCTTGTGGCCGGCATGACTAAACACCAAGGCGCACGGAATGCTGTTACCTTCCCACTGAAGTGGTACCTATTTATCTACTTGCAATTTCTTGCTTTCGAACTGCTAGGTTGGCAGGAGCTGGAACTAGAGACGGGAGCTCACTCCGTTATGCGGCACACTCTGGTCTCGAACTGCTGAGCTACCGACCTTCTACAGCCTGCAGTTCAGCGTCTTAACTACTTGAACCACCGCAGCAGTGTACTGCAATCTAAATCTTTAAACTCAAATCCTGTGACAATATATGACAAGTTCCATATGATATCAGCTAAGGTAATAACCTTGGCCCCATCCTCAAGCACAATGAACTGAAATAGTGATACTCATGCTCATTACAAACACATTCATTAATAACATGGCCAAAAAGCATTACTAGGTGTAAAAGGGCATATATTAGCAGAAAATCATTGTTGTCATATTTTCATAGACTGTATCTGTAAAATATGCTCCAGATGTCAAACAGTAATGGAGTATCATTAAAAAGTATTAACTTCTTTAAAATAGTTACTGGACGACTTAAAGATAATCTAGTACTGAGTTTGTTCTTACTAGTTAATTTCCTAGGAAGTGTAAAAAAAAACCCCACAAAACCCACCCCACCATACACAAGTACACACACAAATAGAAAACTGAGTCAGATCCTTACATGTATTTAAAGGATGAATTAGTTGTGTTCTACTAACCCAAGGCAAATAGAATTGCAAGAACATAACAATGGTCTTGCCACTTCCAAAACTAAATGCCAATGTCCCCAACTGGCAACACTCCTCTTCCACCAGAGGACTATGAAGGGAATAAGGAATGGAAAGGGTAAACCCAAGTCAAAAACACAAACGTAGACACTCTCCCTTTCCATTTTGTTAGAGAATGCCAGAATGTAACACAGAGATTTCCCTTTAAGAAACTATGGCTGCCCTTAGGCAGCGATTTCTGGCTTACCAGGAATTCCCAATCATGGACAGTAAGCTAATTATTTCTGCATTCTCCAATTCAGATTCCTGTTCCATCTTTTCTTCTGCCAGAATTTTCGATTTAAACAGACAAGAAGCCGATTCGCAAAAACCATGCAACTGATACGCAGATCCCGCTTTTTCAAGAGAGGAAGACCACATTAGCCCTTTGCCTGAGCCGGGTAAAGTTAAAAAGCTATCCAAACCACGCTAATGCATGCACTCTGGCAGGGCCCCCGGTCCTCACTTCGCTTGTTACATTCTCCCGCAAGTAAAGTCTCAAAAAGGTTGGGGCGGTCTGCAAGACCAGCAGATCTAAGAATAAAAGAAATCACAGCCGTCGGCAAAGAACCCCCGGTAGGCGCACCGGATCTCCTGTCCTGTTACACATCAGAGACACCTAAGCCAAGGAGGAAAGGATTAAGAGAGAAAACAAACAGGGATCTAGATATGGGGGTCCAAGAGACTGTGGGGGAGACAAAACCGAGTAGAGAACAATGGGCTGGCCAGAAGCACCCCTGGAAAGGACAGCAGGCACCAGTGGGCGAGACGGATGTACCCCCCACGGGCAGCTGGAGAGCCCCGGGAGTGTGCGTTGGGGAAGGGGGTGGGGACCCCACCAGCCAGGTTCTCACCAGCGCGCCTGCGCTCATCCCGCCAGGGTGACCCCCATGCTCCCCTCCGCAGCGTGCCGCTACCTCATATCTGTCGAGGGTCGGGCGTCCCTTTCACACCCAAGGCAAGGACGGGGAGGCAGCGGCAAAGGCCACCGTCTCCACGAGACGCACCATCCCCTCCCGCGTCGGCTCCTGCCGTTACCGCCGCTTCCGCCCCCTCAGCCACCACCGTCTCGCCGAGGGGGAGGGGGATGAGCTGCCCAGCTCCCTTTCACAGGCGCCGGAGGACTGCGCAGCCTCACCCTCCCGTCGCTTGCACGAGCGCACCCGAGACAGACTCAAAACCTAAGCAACCAACCGAGCCTCCGCCAACCTGCAGATCCCGCCTCATCCTGATGACGGACGCGCCTTTTCACCATTAGGAAAACGGGAAAGGCCATGGAGTCACCTCTTATGGAGACCTCCGGCATATATTGATTATAAAGCGACCAAGTAAACTAGACTGGGGGTGGGGTGTTGAAGACTCCCTTCGCTTGTGTAGTTAACTGAAAAATGGAAACCAACCCTTTGTGTGTGCAGAAAAAGCACATGATATGATGATTTAGTATACGATAGAAGCACTAATCGCGGGCGTTTCCAAGGCGTAACCAGGAGTCTGGCATCATAACGAGTTGACCTCGCCTTTCATTCAAAAGTGAACCATTCTCCTCACACGGCTACCATTCTTATTTCCTCCCCCTTAAGCAATTACAATGTCAATGCGCGCTGCATCCTGGGACCAAAGGCACTACGACTTGCTCTGCATGCTGGGAGCTGTAGTTTTTATGTGGGAGCTCCAGCGGGCATGCACAGGCCGAATTCGTCCGAGTCAGGAGTGACTCTTCGGTGACCACTTCTTTCATGCACGCAGAATAATAATTGTGTCGGTTAACCGCTGTCCGGTTTTTTGTGTGGCTCCGTTGTAGAGTTTCCAGCCAGGATAGACGCTCCCGCGGGGCCTGTGAGAGGTAATGGGTTTGTCATAGTAACCGGGGTCGCTTCGGGTGGCGTGACTGAGTTTAAGGGTTAGGCGGCTAGCGTCTGCTAGCTTTTCCGACCCTTGGCTGCCGTCCATTCACGTTGCTCCATGGCTGCTTAAGAATCCTAGTTCTTTTAAGGGGAAGGTTTCTGAACGTGAGCACCCTCCATTCCGCTTCTCCATACCATCTCTGAGGCTGCAATGTGTGAAAATGTAACGGCCCTTACCGCTTGTGTCAGGAGTGATGAGACCCTGATAGAAGGTGCTCTGAATGAAATGGGATTTTATAGTGGTCGCAAGAACTCACGCATTTTCGAATACCGTTTTGTAGCAATCCATATTAAGAGCCGCCTGTGTTTGCAGTTCTGTGTAAAATCCCATGTTTATGTCACTTTTGTACATTGGAGGTAAGCCTGAAAATGAGGAAATAGAACAAAGGATGTAAATATTTAGTGAGGATTCAAGAATAAAACTGTGGAGGAGCAGTGAAGATCACAGTGAGTAATGTGTAGTCTACAGTGGCTAGGGATACCAGCTTCCAGGTGGGGCCTGGGGATCCCTTGGAATTACAGCTCAATTCCTGAGGACAGAGATCATTCCTCCGGACAAAACGGATGCTTTGGAGGGTGGACACCATGGTATTGTACCCCCCCTTAGGTTCTTGTTCTCCTCAGGCTCCATCCCCAAATCTCCAATAGTTTCCCAGCCTGGATTTGGCAACACTACCCCACCCCTATCACCTGCTGGTGACCGGAGGGGGGGGGGGGACCTGGCAACCCTAGCACTGATCTTCACTATCAGGAAAATCAAGAACTTGGGGCAGGGGTTGGTGTAAACTGAGCTTTTAGAGTGTGCAGCATGTGACAGTGTATGAGAACATACAGCATTTTCCCTGCACCTCCTTGAGTAAGTGAATATTGAGAGACAATCTGCACGCCTCGCGGAGGCTTTTTTTTTTTGCATCTGAACCATTTCCTGCAGAAGGTATTGAAATGTCATCTAGAGCACACTTGCTGTTCAAGCAAACAGATGAAATTGGACTGCCAGCAAAAATACTGGACACACTTGTTGTGTCCTGGAACCGTCACCAGGCGGTAGCCAGGCGAGCAGAGCCTGATTCCCAAAAGAACAATAGGGACTAGGCTGCTAAGGTCCACTAGGGGAACCAATAGAAACCTTGGCGGGAGATTCAACCCCCCCAATGGAATCTAGGGGTGTTCCCTTGGAAATGTATATAGTTGGCCACTTGGCCGTTTGTCTTTGAAGTGTGAAAGTACTGAGTAAACGCGTGTTTCTTATATCGTGGTCCGAGTCGTGATGTATCGAACCGAGTACTTTTCAACACTCACACTCGTTGACCATATAAAGCGAGGGACACATGAGGACTTGTGGGGCGCATCTCATTCCCCCTTCCACATTCCCTTACCTGAAACCCTCCATATATTCTCCCCCTTTCCTGCTTCCTTCTCTCCTTCCCACCCAGCATCCATCCTACCTTTATCTGCCCCATCTTCAGCTTTCTCTCCTTCCTTCCCACTGACAGCGTCTACCAAGAAAACTATGACCCAGTTGCACAGTGCTAGCTGCTAGGCCAGGTCAGTGGCACAATTGGGAACTTGCAAGGACTTGAGTGGGGCACGCTTCCCCACACTATTTCCTCTCCTCTTGGTAACCCCTATTTCTTCAACTTTCCCTGTTGCTATCTGACCTTCCCAACATCAAAAAAGCTTCTTTTTATTGGCCTCCATATTTAGTTATATTTATTATTTCGTTTATATTTCTCCTTTCTCCATAATGGGGACCCAAAGCAGTTTACATCATTCACCTTTCCTCCATTTTATCCTCACAATGACCCTGTGAGCTAGGTTAGGCTGAGAGTGGATGACTGGCCCAAGGTCACCCAGCAAGCTTCCATGTCAGACTGGGGAGTTGAATCTAAGTCTCCCAGATCCTAGTTCTACACTCTAATAACTGCACCACACTGGCTTTCTGTATTTGTTGTTTCTTTGTGATATAGAAGGGTATTCCATTTTGAATGTGAAAGTGGTACAGTCCAGATGCAGGTCTACCATATCTGTGAGACTTAGGCCAGAGAGTCCTGTGGCATGTTAAAGCCTACTAGATGTATTGTAGCTGTGTAGTTAGACATTTCTAAATTTAAAACATCTAACATTTCTAGCATCATGAATATATTTGGCATAATAGACAGTGCAATCCTATGCAGCTACAGCAGTCTAAGCCATTGAAATTAGTCATGAGTATAGCTGCATAGGAATACACAGATAGTCTAGCAAATGATATTTTACACGGTATAAAAGGGGTATAGTAAGGGACACAATCCAGTCAAAGCTAAGTATTTTAAAATCCCTGTTTGTCCTGAAAGGGAAACTGTAAACATTTAACTCTGCCACTGAAATCACTGGGAGAATTACCACAGAATCCTAACCATGTTTACTCAGAGGTAAGCCACAATGAACTCAGTGGTACTTACTCATGGGTAAATGTGCACAGTCTTGCAGCCTTGAAATACCTAACAGCAATAAAACACCTGCAGTCACCAGGGCTGTACAAAAGAAACATGCAAGGCAGATACCCTAGCTACATCCTACCCTCTAAGGGACTTGCTGTATCCAGACACTTCAGTCTTTTTCCCCCCAACATGACCCTCCCCACAAGATCTCTTTCTAACCTTTCTTTAATTCTGCCACTTCAGTCCTGCCACCATCTATCCCCATAGTCAGCATGGACCAACATGGTAAGCCGACTGATTGGCTGCAAAAGTCTCTCCCTTTCCAGCTTTCTTTGCAGAGCCAACAGGATTTCTGCAGGAGCTACCTGACTGGCTGCTGAGTGGTGGATTGGGTTGTTTATAAACCTTGCTGGCTATGATAAAAAAACAAGTAGATGGGTTGCTATTTTATCAAACCATAGATGAAAGAAAGAGTGCATGCACAGAGTTTTGTTGTGCTGGTTGCAGGCATACTTAATGAGACAATAATGAACATTTATATGTGCAGTATTTTCTCAGTTTATTTCCTGGACTGAAAGGGAAAATATTGGACTGTCCAGTTCAAAACTGGACACCTGACAACCCTATGTTTAAATGCTCTATTGGTCTGTGTGTTTCAGAAAAGGTCAGTAATTATTAACATTGCCCCAAGCTGGTTTTCAGGGAAACTTATTTGTCACTTCAGATCTTCTCATAATTTTTGAAGGGACTTTAGAGTTCCCCAGAACACAATGTTAAAACCCTTGATCTATCCTCTCCCTTACTCAAAGATATTTTAGTGGGCTGACAATTTCATCTGATTCCCAGAGTAATGCAGTATAAAAATATGTTTAAATCTGAGGATCCTAAATTTAAATTTCAGTTGAACCAAAAACTCACTGGTAGTTCTAGGACCAAGTCATAAGATAACATAAGAACATAAGATTCTTTGTTTACTTGTTTGTTTACTTGCACTGCTAGCACTTTGCATTTTGTTGTGGTTTTAACTGTTTTATCTGTTTTAATATTTGTATAATGTATTTTTATATATATGACTGTAAGCCGCCCTGAGCCTGCGTTCGTGGGGAGGGTGTTGGGGAGGATGTAAGAGAAGCCAGTGTTGGATCAGGCCAATGGCCCATCCAGTCAAGCACTCTGTCACACAGTGGCCAAAAATACCAGGTGCCATCCGGAGGTCCATCAGTGGGGCCGGGACACTAGAAGTGCTTCCACTGTTGCCCCCCCCCCCCCACACCAAGAATACAGGGCATCACTTGTCTATACCTTGTGGCTAATAGCCACTGATGGACCTCTGGGCCATGTGTTTATCTAATTCTCTCTTGAAGCCATCCATGCTTGTAGCCACCATCACCTCCTGTGGCAGTGAATTCCATGTGTTAATCACTCTTTGGGTGAAGAAGTACTTCCTTTATATATTCTAACCCGACTGCTCAGCAATTTCATTGAGTGCCCACAAGTTCTTGTATTGTGGGAAAGGGAGAAAAGTACTTCTTTCTCTACCTGCTATATCCCATGCATAATATTGTAAACCTCGGTCATGTTGTTTTTCCAAGCTAAAGAGCCCCAAGCACTTTAACCTTTCTTCATAGGGAAAGTGTTCCAACCCTTTTATCATTATATAGGTGCCCTTTTCTGCATTTTTCCCAATGCTGTAATATCCTTTTTGAGGTGTAGTGACCAGAATTGCACACAGTATTCCAAATGAGATCACACCATAGATTTATACAGGAGCATTATGATACTGGCTGATTTGTTTTCAGTTCCCTTCCTAATAATCCTCAGCATAGTATTTATAGTTAGGATTTTTGGCTCCAATGTGCATCACCTTGCACTTGGCCACACTGAACCCCATTTGCCACGTTGATGCCCACTCGCCCATCCTTGACAGATCCCTTTGGAGTGCCTCACAATCCTCCCTGGTTTTCACCACCCTGTACAACTTCGTATCATCTGCAGATTTAGCCACTTCACTGCTTACTCCCAACTCCAAATCATTAATGAACAAGTTAAAAAGCATCGGACCCAGTACTGATCCCTGTGGTACCCAACTGCTTACCACCCTCCACTGTGAAAATTGCCCATTTATACTCACTTTGTGTCCTATTAATTAGCCAGTTTTTGATCCACAAGAGGACTTGTCTTTTTATCCCATGACTGTTGAGCTTATTTAGTGTCAGCTATGCTGCCATATGGTTTATAGGCCTAGGGTTCGCATGCCTGACCTGTGTATGAGTTGGAGCCACATTCCTTTCCTCTCACTTCTTCCCTAGTTATCTCTGACCTTGTACTCCTGCCTTTGTAGTGTCTCCACTATAATTAACCGTGAGACTAGTTTCGTCTCAGCCGAGCGTCGTTTACTTTTTCCTGCCCGCGGGAGCAGGAGCGATTGGTCCACAGGTGGGGGGGGACCTTTTGAATCTGCTATATTATTGTATGCTTGTTCCTGGCTAGTCATTCCTAACAGTGACCATGTTACTGCAATCATAGTACTGACAATAAAGCAAAACCTTTCTTGGTTGGAAGTGTGTGCTCCGTTGTTTGGCTGTGGGTCCTGACATTCTGTTAGGAATCCTATCATCCTTATTGTTCATATCTCTCTCGTCAAGATGAGTGAGGAAGAGGACAAAACTGTATCCACGACGACAGGGGGGAGACCCCTACTACCCAGTCCGAGGTACTGGTGACGACCGCCCCACCCCTGATGACTCCACTACAGACAGTGGGCAGCGGGACTGTCCTGAAGACAGTGTCAGCCCACATCTTTTTAACACCGAAGGGGCCGAGGCAGCAGGGAGGTCAGCTGTACCACCCCGGGTCATTACGGTGGGACCAGTTCAACCCGGATTCGACAGGGGAAACATATGTCCTGACCAAGGGCCCTTGGAGAGACAGCCGGTTCGACGCCAGGCTGTTAGACGAATCCAGTTCCTTACTATATGGGGTGACGTTGGAAGCTGTGACCCGAGCGTGGGTGACAGGCCGCACGAAAGAGCGCAGCAGACGCCGGTCCCCAGAGGAGGAAGAGTTCAGTCTGGCCGAGCGAATTGTGGAAGTGGAACAGGCTCAGCGCCAAATTATGCAGGCCCGTTTAAAATCAAACGTCTAATCAATGAGGTTGCTGTGGATCTAGAACTTCCATTTGGGGAGGGCGATTGGCCCACAGGTGGGGGGGGGGCCTTTTGAATCTGCTATATTATTGTATGTTTGGCTAGTCATTCCTAACAGTGACCATGTTACTGCAACCATAAAGGTAAAGGTAAAGGTTCCCTTGCTCGAAAGCCAGTCGAATCTGACTCTAGGGTTGCGGTGTTCATCTCCGTTTCAAAGCCGAAGAGCCAGCGCTGTCCGAAGATGTTTCTGTGGTCATGTGGCCGACATGACTAAACGCCAAGGCGCACGGAACGCTGTTACCTTCCCACTGAAGTGGTACCTATTTATCTACTTGCAATTTCTTGCTTTCGAAGCAAAACCTTTCTTGGAAGTGTGTGCTCCGTTGTTTGGCTGTGGGTCCTGACATTTAGGAACCTTTGGTGAGGAACTTTATCAAAAGCTTTCTGGAAGTCAAGGTAAACAACATCTATTGGATCCCCCTTGTCCACATGTTTGTTCACCCCCTCAAAGAATGCTAACAGGTTAATGAGAAAAGATCTTCCTTTACAGAACCCATGCTGAGTCTGCCTCAATAGCTCACACATTTTTATTCTTATCTGGGGCTCGAACTATGGAATGGAACTATAACTGTTTTAAAGAATTACCAAGCCTACAAGCAATCATGGAAAATAATTGTTTTATTCTTGCATGACAAACATAAACCCATTTACTCAAAAAATGGTTCCCATTGATCTCAATAGGTGTTAGTGAATCATACTTTATCCATAAGAAAAAACATTATTCTTTGTTGTTTTGCAGTAGTTAAAGTGATGCTCTGTCTTCTTGGTGCTTGGGGGGGGTCAGCACTGGGAGGGCTTCTAATGTTCTGGCCCCACTGGTGGACCTCCTGATGGCACCTGGTATTTCTGGCCACTGTGTGACACAGAGTGTTGGACTAGATGGGCCTTTGGCCTAATCCAACATTGGCGTCTCTTATGTTCTTAAATAAGGAGATTCATTAGCAGAGTTTATATCGTTATGGTGGGACCACAGGTTTTAAATATTCACTTTCTTTGATTCAGTGCTGCACCAGTGGTAGTGAAGTCATGTTCTGTTATTTAGTAGAAGTATATTACTTTATATTGCCTTTCTGTGTCTTAAATTTCTTCTAGATTAATGGATATATAAAATCTTTGTTATGAAGTATGTTCACAAACTTTACTTTATTTCATTTTCTATTTTAAGGTAGCTATGAAGGGCTTATATTGGCAGCAGACTTTATCTGCAGAAGAAACAAATTTTGTTTTCTTGGAGAAGGTGAGTTAAAGCGCTATCCTAGGAACACTTTGCTGGGCTTTAAGTCTAACTGAATGTTCTTGAATGAAGTTTGAGATCAGTGGCACCTTTAAGACCAACAAAGTTTAATTCTGGATATAAACTTTTATGTGCTTGAGTACGATTCTGAGTAGAGCCACTTAAGGGTGGCACTGTTATTTGCTTAAAAGAAAGACTAGACTGTATGTATCCTACAGATGCAACATATGTGACACACACATATGGCTTGTACTTTCTCATGGAAGGGGAAGCATAGAACAACTTCATGACCGTGACAGTATTCTCTTGCTCACCATGAGATTATATATATTTCTGTCCCCAGTAGTTAATAAAGAAAATATGTTGTCGACAGGTATAATTTCTCTTCCCAGCATTGACATTTCAGAATTCTCCTTTCTGTGTAACTAATAAAGACACAAGAACCCTGTCCCACATTGAATCAAAAAGTCCTAATTATTAGATGGGGAATGATGTGAGGGGAAAGACTATGAAGCAGTTTTTATATAGTACTACAGTGGAAATAGATGATTTTTTTAAACAGCAAATGAAAATAACGAAAAAGATGCACGTAACTGTCATTTCAACCAGAAGCTGATAGGTTATTTGCCAGTACTTGTACAAAGGTCACAATATTCCATGTAAATCTATGGACATTCATGTTAAAAGACTGTGTGTTTACACCTAAATTGTTTTAAATAATTTTATTACATATGTAATACATTTAATTTATATTTCATGTGATTTATAAGTCACCACAAGATTAAATATTCTGTAGTATACTCAGTGGGACAAATAGACTATAAGTAAATAAATTTACTTAGTGATTCTATGATTCTATAAGTCACCACAAATCAAATGAGATTAAATATTCTGTAGTATACTCAGTGAGACAAATAGACTATAAGTAAATAAATTATCAAAATCTGTGAAGTAGGCAAACCAAAAATACATAGTAGTCATAATTACTAAATTATTTTATTTTTTATTTATTTATTTAACTTTAGACTTTATATCCCGCTCGAACCCTCTTTCTCAGGGGGTCTCTGAGCAGCTTACAAGTGGTGCTAGTCACACAATTTTCCCTAACTAGGGCCACAGAGTCTGTAGGGGTGGGACTACCTACCAGCACCCCTATGGTGGTTGGTGTGTTTGTTCTTGGCTCGGCACTCCGATCGTCTCCGGCGGGCTCCCATTTCAACGATCCGGCGACAGTTCTTTTTTTTTTTGAATCATTAATTCTTTAAACCAATTTAGTTGATATAGTCATAACTAGAAATACCAAATAGATTCAGGTGGGTACCCATGTTGGTCTGAAGCAATGTAGAACAAAGTTTGAGTCCAGTGGCACTTTTAAGACCAACAAAGTTCTTAAAGGTGCCACTGGACTTAAACTTTGTTCTAGAAATACCAGAATCACTACTCACTGCTCATCCAGCATTAATGAAATATCTTACAGGATGCATTCTATTAGGCACTTTATGTCCTTTAAGAAACTTACATAATCAAAATTGTAGTTTCTCATCCCAAAAATCAAAAAAGGCTTCCAGATCTCTCAAAAATAGGTCCTGTCAGCCCTTCCATATCTTAGCTTAACCAATTCAGTTAGCTTGGATAATTTGACAATTTCCCAAACTTTATTTATCCAAGATTTAACGTTTAAAATCTACACATTTTCTCAGTTTTGTGCTAATAACATTTTTGCTACAGTCATAAAATCAAGAACCATTCCTTTGTGCTCCTTCTGAATATCTTTTGGCAAATGCCCCAATAATAAACATCTTGGCTCATTTGTCAGTGTACACTCCATTATCCATTTTATTTGTCTAAAAGTAACATCCCAGAGCTATGACCCAGATAGCCCACGTTAGCTCAGTCTTGGAAGCTAAGCAGGGTTGGCCTTGGTTAGTATTTGGATGGGAGACCACTAAGAAATACCACAGGTTGCTACACTCTGGGTCAACGTTCCCTCTAAGCTGTGGAGTCTTCTGAGCAAAAACTTTACTTTGTGAGCTACTGCCATTAAAGTTGTGAGCAAGCAATTTGGCTACTGCATAAATTAGTTTGCTCCGGAGCCTTCCTTCCTGAGCTGAGACAAAAATGTGTGAGCCGGAGACCAAAAAACTGTGAGCTAGCTCACACTAACTCAGCTTAGAGGGAACCCTGCTCTGGGTGTGATCAGACGACGTGCTGGGAGTGGTTTAAATTGCTCCAGTCCCGATGCATTTTTTTTTTAACCTGGAGAATCGCAATCACACTCACCTCCATGTTCTGGATCGCTGCGCAACCACATCACTCCCTGCCGTCCACACACGGGAATGTGCGTCAGTGGTTTTTTTTCCCCCTCTCAGTTTGGGCATGCGCACAGGCAGCCATCTGTAGAATTAAAATTTTCGCACGTGTGCAGAACAGCAATTTCCACTTCAACCCAACTGCTGTAACACTTCCATTTAAACTTTAAAGGAACACTTCCCTTTAAACTTTTATCCCAAAACTGGCCTCCGTAAGATCCCGAACTCGTCTAACCAACAAAACTAGGCACGGGAGTAGAGCTTCACCTGTGCGCATACCGCCGATGCTAAAATAAAATGGCGGGCGAAGAGCGGAAGCCTCAGGTGAAGAGTGGAAGAGGCCTGACACCGCAGGAGTGATCAGACGTCAGAAAAGTATGGCTAGAACTGGAGAATCAGGAAAACACCACTTGGGGACCTGGTAACAAAATACTCCGTTTTAAAGGGGGTTTGAGCCAGAAAGCGACGGCTGGGGACCGTCCTCAGATGTTGGGTGTGTGAACGTGGATATAAAATTCATTACTGAAGCATGCTGAAAGCGGACTAAATGGCCCGTCTGAACGCACCGAGTGGCAGGCAATGGCAAACCACCTCTGAACATCTCTTGCCTTGAAAACTCTCAGGGCAGGGGTTGCCATAAGTTGGCTGCAACCTGACATCAAAACAACAGCTTCTGGGCCTGACCAGAGCATGTGACTAAAATACTCAGCCTCATGGCCTTTTGTCATTCTTGAAGTATTCTTTCAGAATGTATTATTGGTACATTTTCAAAGAGAAATAACAGGGCAATATCTACATTTTCGAGGCTATCATTCTGAACCATGAAAGGTTAAACAGTGTACACCTTTTAAAATCTTGTTTAATTTGTTGCATAATGATAAATGGTTATCCGCATACAGATCCTTTACATTAAAACTTTAATCATATTTAGACATATTGTACAGTAGACTGAGACCACTCAAGATTAGTCCATTTTGAAATAGCTTTGTACATTATGTATATTTCTATCTGCATTTACCACAATTAAGTCAATTTTAGTTTTATTAATCTTATATCCAGATAACATACTATATTCTTCTCAGGTTGTGTGCAATAGATTTCCCAGGGTTTTGAGTGATAGAAGAATATAATCAGCATACAATCTTTAAATCCCTTTCAACATCTTTTATCCATGTTATTTTTGGGTTACATCTTACCAGTTCTGTAAGATGTTTGATGTTGATAGCAAAAAGAATGAGAGACAGAAGGCAACCCTGCCTCAAACCTCTGCCAAGTGTAATGGGCACTGATAAAATTTTATTCCCTTGTTGATGTGCTTTGTGCCAATTGTAAATTGCTTTTATTTTATTAAAGCAATTGCCTTTCATTGAATGTCTCTGAAGAGTGAAACAAAAAGTTCCACTCTGTTCTTTTTAATACCTTCTAACAGCATTAAGGCCATTTCTTTCTTTTTTTCCAGCATGATTTAAAATCGAGATTAGTGTTTTCTGTTAGTAACAGCCTTTAATAAAACTAGTTTGATCAGAATGTATATATTTATGTAATATGTTATTTAGCTTTGCTGCAAGAACTGATATGAATATTCTGTAGTCTACATTTAGCAAAGATATTGATCTGTATGAATTAGGTATAGCTAGAGCCTTATCGTTTCATAGATAAATATTACTGTGGCATCATTCCAAGAACTTGGAATGTTGCCACTTTGTTGATGTTCATTTAATAGGCTCAATAGAGGTTGTTCATTGTAGCTTTAAAATACAACCATTAGGCCATCTGGGTCAGGTGACTTATTATTCTTCATACTTTTTATCAGTTCTTCAGTTTCTTGAGCTGAAGCTTTAATGCTGTAATTATAAACATATAAACTTAAGCTAAAGCTCTCCATGAACTAGAACTACACATCTTTGCTGGGTGGAACCTTACCATCGTAATCTGGGGAGAACTGAGTCTTGTCTGCAGAACAAGCTGAAATGTTTAGACATGAATTGATTTATACTCTTTGACTGTAATGCTATGTTGTTACTCAGTATTAGATGTAAAGACATAACATACTGAACGTACTGCAGCAATATGTATCCAATTGCCTGACACTAAAATGTTATTACATCTGTTGCACTGAAATTGTGAAATATTTTAACATGTTGGTTGTGATACATAAAAGTAAACTTAGCAGTACAATCTGTCAGTAATTACGTAATTATGGGTTCCCTTGCTTGCTCTTCTCCTACCATAAGTATCTTTTTGTGGCCACAATCCAGCAAAAGCAAGTGTAGATGGAAGGGAAAACTCTGCAGCATCAAAAGTTTGAGTGGAACTGAATGTTGTATTAAGAAATGCGTACAACATTCTGTTAGATAAAAGCAGTTTTCAGGTGCATATTTATTTTTACAAACATGCATATAGAATCCCATAAAGCAAAAAGTAGCTTTGGGAATTGCAGTAATTCTGCCTCTAGATCAATGGGAAGTAACATGCATCAGTCAGGAAGATGCCCTCTTTATTCAGTGTAGGAAGTTCCATAATCTCTTGTGCACTGTTGTACCCTCCTCAGAGCATGGTCCTTGACTCTTATTTTGCCTTATGGTCAGATATTTAACTTCCTGTACAGAAAGATTAGCAGGTTATTGTTGCTTCCTACTTATATGCTCTGTAGTATGCTGTTTAGTATGTATTTCATGTCATTTCATTCTAGGATAACCTTGCTGTTTTGAAAGACAACCATGTAAAGGTGCAAGTTAAAGCCTGTGCTCTCAGATGGATTGATACAAAGGTATTATTTTATTTTTAGAAAACTGAAGAGTTTTGCCTGTATATGGTAAAGGTGCATATGTAAATGACAGTGAAATCCTAAGCAGAGTTACACCCTTCTAAGCCAATCGACTTCAGTGGTTTTAGAAGGATAGGGTGCAACAGTATTTAGGATTGCACTTGACATGACCTATTTCATTTTGTACTATAAAAGAAACAGAAAATGGACAGGGACAGAGTAAAGGAAATAAAAATTCAGTTCCTTGTTTATTAGGATGTAGGAAACTGCTGTTGTCTCGGTTGAATAGAATTCCAGGCTTTGTTTTCAGTCCCTACGTTTCCCCTCTTTAAGTAACAAGTCAGTCTAGCCATTTAAATGATTCCTATTAATATAGTTAATTTTATGGATCTAGTCCCTGTTCCCTGAAGCTTGGTGATCAAGATTTGCTTATTTCATTAAAAATTAGTGTGAAAGCAAAATATTCTAATATCTAAATAGCTGGTTTCCATGTTAAAACAACTGTATGCAAGCTGTTTGAAACCTCATAGTGTTCTGTCTACATAATACCCATAGAAAATGGAGCAGCCTGTATAAATTTCATCCATCACCTGGAGAGTTTCCCTGCAGCTACTAGCTGCCATCAGGAATGCATACTGTCAGTGATGAGATTTCATATACTGCAGGGGTGATTATGCATTGACATGGGGAGAGGGCTGGCTCAGTGATAGAGTATCTGCTTTGTATGTAGAAGGTCCTGGGTTCAATCCCTGGCATCTCCAGTGAGAAAGATCAGGTAGTAGGTGATGTGAAAGACCTCTCCCTGAGACCTGGAGAGCCAGTGCCAATCAGAGTAGACAGTACTGACTTCAATAGACCAGTGGTCTGACTTGGTTTAAAGCAGGGGTGTGTGTGTGGGAGAGTGAGAGAGACATGCAGTGCAGTCGTAAGAACACTTTTCTGGGAGTAAGCCCCATTTGTATAGATATGAATAGGATTCTCAGTTGATATGCTTAGAATTGCTTCCTAAGTCTATGTGATGTGCCTGCTTCAGCAGCTCTTTGGTGTCTTTTTGGGCTGCAATAGAATGTAAATGTTTTCTGCCTACACATGAAGCTAACCATTCCCTTAGGTGCTGGGTTTACTTCTATAATCCCACAGTCCTTTGGAAAATCATTTAGCAACATGCACCTCATTACTTAGAGAATCAGAGCTGCATTATAAGATGTTAAACATTCAAAAGTATACGCAGCATAAAGATCCATTTATTACATTATCTGCTCCTACACTTCTGTATCTTATTGTGCTCCTTCTATAAATGCTTTATAGACGAACTCAGAATTTAAATGAATTAAAAATAACTTGAGACGTTTATTTTTTTAGTTTGACAGGTATCTGACTAAACTTGAATACAACTTATTTAACTTTGTATATTAAAAGAAACAGAATGGGGATTGGGACAAAGTAAATGACATGATGATTCAAGCAAGATGTTGTTAATCACATCGTGAATTGTATTAAAACTGATTAAAAATTAATAGAGAACTCTGTATTCAAGTAAATTAGGGGAAGCCTATTTGTGCAGTTAAGTTTCCAGCAATTAGGTAAACCAGCTGAAATCCTAATTGAAGATGGAGATTGTATTCATACTGTTAGGCAAACTTTCTTTTGTTTACTTCATTTTATAGTCTGCCTTTCTCACAAAAACTCAAGGTAGATTCTTTAGGTACTCAGTATCTACTTTGCTAACTGCCCATAGACAGGTTTTACATGGAAATAACAGAGTATAGGCCAGGGGTGGCCAAACTGTGGCTCAGGAGCCGCATGCGGCTCTTTCACACATATTGTGTGGCTCCCGGCAGGGTGGCTGGGGAAGTGAAGGGGAGGCATGCTTTTTCTCTCCCTCCCTCCCATCTATTTGCTTTCTTTGTTTCTCTCTCTCTCTTTTTCTCTTTCTTTTCATCTCTTTCCTTCTTTTTCACCTCACTCTCTCTTTCTCTCTTAGACAAATAAATATCATTGAAAAATAAATATCATTATCAATACCTGTTTTACCCCTTTTGTTTTTATTTTTGGCAGTCTCATTTAATGTTAATAAAAAGCAAATCTACATATTTTTCAATAAAAATTTCTGTGTAAATGTGTTTATGTCTTGCGGCTCTCAAACATCTGATGTTTATTCTATGTGGCTTTTATGTTGAGAAAGTTTGGCCACCCCTGATATGGCCATTGTGAGGAACTGAACTTCTGCACCACACCCTAGTCTGTATTATCAAAGGTATTGGATTTTAGGGTCATGTCATCCACCCCTTCCATCCTCGTACTCTGACTGATTGATTTGAGTCAAGCTTTGATACTGGAGGCCATATTTACTTCTTCCATATCATATTTGACTTATGCAATATGTGTACTAATCTTGGCAACAGAATCCTAACTGTTAATTGACTTAGCTTTTATCAGAAATCAAGATGGAGAAGGAATTTCTACCTGTTGGGAGGGAAATTGCTGGTGTTGTGTTGGAGAGTGAGTATACTTGTTAACATAATGTTACTGTAACCTTTGAGAGCAAATAATGAGTGTAGAGATCAGTGAGCATCATTTGAACTGTATAAAATCAATTTGTTAATTGTGTATAAAGTCAAATTCCCAGTGTTTATATAACCCACAATGTTCTGTTATGCATTGGTATAAGAAAAGAGTCCACAACTGGTCCATGCAGGCTCGAGTCAATTGTTGGAAGTAATCAAGTGCAAGGAGCAGGCTTAACCCCACCCCAGTGTGCCTATAAACACCTTTTCCTTTATATCTAAATGGCTACCATCAGTTCCTGAAAGAACAGTAATTCTTGACAAATTCTGGTGTAGTGGATGAAGAAGCCTCCCTAAAGGTCCTAATGCTAGGTGGTAGAACTACTTTTGACAACTCTGTTGTGATATCCCTATCCCTATTGTACTGCAATAAATATTTTAAAATCACTTTTACCAACATGCAATGACATGACATGTTTTTGAAGGTAGTTTTAGGTTTTTAATCATGTTCATATCAGTTCTGAGCTGCCAGCATAGCTCCATAAAGCCCACAAGGTAAGTTATAAGGTTATAACAATCATATCTAAAACAAAATTCATTTTTAAAAGTAACTAAAATACACACAATACATAAGAAAAACAGCCTAAAAGCAGCAATAAAATATACCGTAAAACCAATTTTCAGTCATTGATAAAACAATAAACACTTCAGGCCAGTCACCTAGCTTACATTGAAATCCTGTAATTTCCGACATTCTTTAAATGAAGAGATTCTTTAAATGAAGAGATTGACCTGACCATCCCTGGCAAAGGAATTTCCATAGCATGAAATATCCAAGAATGCCCTTCTCCATGCACCAATCAAACTGATTTCAGACAAAGAAGGAATTTGGAGCAAGGCCTCTGCTGAGCTTTATAGGGCAGAGGGGCAGCATTTTTCCATAGTTTACTTCTCCCAAGCCATTAAGAATCATGCCTTCTGCATTCTGCATAGCACCATCCTAATTTCTGTGTCCTGGTCACACTACGCTAGAATGTGGAAACTCACAATTGCCCTGTATATTCATTCCAGCAGCAAAAAAGCCTGCTGGATCTTGACCTGCGCTCTGTAGGAGCAATGGCTTCAATAATTAGTTTTAGGCAGTTTGGTGTAGTGGTTAGGAGCACAGACTCTAATCTGGGAGAACTGGGTTTGATTCCCCACTCCTCCACATGCAGCTGCTGGTGTGACCTTGAGTCAATTACAAATTCTTTCAGAGCTGTTCTCTCATATGCAGTTCTCGAAAGAGCTCTCTCAGCCCCACCTACCTCAAAGGGTGTCTGTTGTGGGGAGGGGAAGGGGAAGGAGATTGTAAATTGCTCTGAGACTCCTTCAGGGAGTGAAGGGCAGGGTATAAATCCAATCTCTTCTTCTTCTATACTGATACCCAGTCAAGAGCATTCTTCTTCAGTGCTTCCCATTCCTAATTGAAGTCAGTTTCCATGGGTATAGCAAGAGGAAAGGCAGTCCTGAACTAACCGTAGCATCCAAGCTCTGGAAAAAAATCCCTCTTACTACCACCACCACAAACTGTTAGAAACTGCAAATAAAATGCTGTTTCCAGCTTTGGGAGCATACTTTACTTCAAATATTTGAAAAAGCCTTCAGTATGTGGTTCTCTGTTCTTTATTGCTTTTATTACAGCTAGTACAATTAGCAACTTAAGCAGAAAGTGCACATTATTGTACTGCAGTAAATATTTTAAAATCACTTTTACCAACATGCAATGACATGAGCTTTAGGAGCAAAAACAGGTATACAAAAATTAGTCCTCCTTGACAGGTACTCCTTTATAATATAAGGGGATTGATTGTATCCTTCCTGAAGAAATGACAAATTAATATCCTGGGTGAATATTGCCTAAATCAGTTTTTGTTACTACTTCAATAAGGAGATAGTCTCTGCCTATCTCTTTTAGTCTCTCACAGTCCCAAACAGCCCCTACTCTCTCACAGTCCCAAACAGCCCCTAATGGCTGTATTTGGCTGTGAATCATAGGTTTTCAGCCTTGCTGCTGGATATCATGGGCTGCCACAGCTCAGGTAAAAAGGAAAGAAAGACACTGGCAATCTTTTCTCTGGGATATGGGTGGGGTGCAGATGCACCTAATTAAATTTCTCTTGGGCTGACTAGTACATGAGTTTTACTCATGAGTCATACTTTGTATCAGTCTCATTGCTTTTTGTTGCAGAATTGTTTTTCCACACATCATACTGGATCAGTGACCTTGGGAGGGTCTTGTATTTCACTGCACCTTATGATTCAATGTGTTTTGCATGTCCCTTGAGGTCTGTGCCTTGTAAGCACTTCTTTTTGCTTGCACCACTTTTTGATCTGTAATGAGTAGACTGATCTGGAGGCATAAGGAGGTTTCTGC